ACTTTAATTAGTCAGAACTTTACTGTTTTAAAGGTGAAATCAGATTTACAAAAATATGTTTGTCTTTATGGACTGTATGTAAGAATTTGAAGTATTGGTCCTCTTATAAGACATTTTCCTTGTATCTTTACCTTTTATCCAAAGTGCTTATTCTATGGAGCTTACTGGTCGTGCTTTGATGTAGAATTTTTCACTTTTTGGTTTATTTTATCTCTTCAAAGTCACAAAAGAGAATTCACATCAAACTAGTTTTTCTGGAATTTGACATTTTTGTTGTTTTCAGCTGCAGGACCACGGCAAGAACTCGCACGTGTCTGAGATCATCAACGTTTATGAACAGAAGCTCTCGGCGTTTGCAGTGAGTATTTTAGTTAAGTAGTCTATGTTGATATTTAAGCTTTTATGTTTTTGCTGAAGTCGTATTTGACACTATAACTCTAATGTGTTTTTATAACTGAAAACCTCCCTGAAATATCCACTGAGTACTTTCAGTGAATAATACAGAAATGTCTGCATTTTCTAAACTAAAACAGTATTATATTGATGTGATTTAATTACACTGTATGTTTCCCCATTTCTTTTTTTCTCCCTTCCTTTGTTCATATGCAGGGCAAAAAATAATGAAAGTAATGACAAAATACTTGAAGATAAATCCATCTCATTGAACACTAGTGCTGAATAACGGTCTTAGAAACAGATGTAAAGCTGTTAGTTCTTCACTGTCATTGTCAATCCTACATTTGACTTTCTACTCGATGGGGATAGTGTTTTTATTTCATCACATCTTCTTCTTGAGGGCCTTGTGATTTAGCTGAATCTAAAGTGTTGTTCTTGATAATGTGGTCTATTCAGTTTAACATCTCTTTGTGTGTCCCTGTCAGTCTAAAGAGAGCGGACTGCAGGACTTGTTGGAGGCGAAGGCTCTGGCTCTCTCTCAGGCCGACCGTCTCATCGCTCAGTATCGCTTCCAACGAGCTCAAGCTGAAGCCGAGGTAACGGTCATACAATTCATCACACAGTTTGATCATCATTTTGACTTCATGTATAAAAAAAATTAATGGCTACAACTTTTTTAAGTTATGAGTTTATTTGTAATAATTTAGAGTTTGGACTTTTGTTGGACAAGCATTACATTAGTGCCATCTTGTCATTTATTTCTACTACCTGATTGTACGTATAAGCCGATGATGATGTCACATCTCAGTCACAATAGAAGATTTTCACAGGGTGTGTTTTTTTGTAGGATTTGAATACTTCTCTCAATGTTACAGGAATTTTCAAACGGAATGCTAATTTTATTCATGAAGTCAACCACAGCTTAAACTTTATGACATCTGTTTTTCTTGCAGGCCTGTAAGCTCGGCTCTCTGCTGAAGGAGGCAGAGCGGCGTCGCGAGGATTTGCATGTGGAACTTAGTAACCAGGTGCTGGAGGTGGAGCGATTAAAGGCCGACATGGAGGAGCTGCTGCAGCACAACACCAGGCTGCAGCAGGACTCAGAGGAGCACCAGGCCCTCAAAGAAGCCTACAATGCCCTGCTCAACAGGTCAGACACACACAGAACAGAGGCATTCCAATTTTTGCATGTTGCATAAAAGTCTTCAGGTAATTTCCCTCAGAAATAGTCCTTAATTTAATTTACTGCAACCACATTTGTTGTGGGCGAAGCGCATGGTCTCAAATGTAAAATAGATGCCTGCTATGTGGTGTTAATGTAATTTGTATAAACTCTTTATTTCAATGTAAAAAGGTCTTCACATTTTTAACAGGCACTCAGCTTGTTCTTGACATTAGCCTCTGTATGTCACCTCACTAGCTAGGAAGGTCATTATCTCATGAAGGGCAAATGTGAAATTTTCTTTTGAAAATACATCCATACATTTTATGTCACGTATCTGAATAAATGTCACACTTATTAACTGAATTTAAAAAATACATATTGTTCTACGCAGCTTAGGTAACAAACACACCTCTAACAATTGACTAAAATTATATCTCCCAAAAAAGACAGGCTTTCATAGACTTAAATTAATAAGAGCCCAGGGTACTAGTTTAAATGTTATGGCATGTAAAAAACCATGATCCTGCCTAAGAGCACTTCAGTTTGCCACTTGACATCTTTGAAGCTTGATCCAAAGGCAACAGTTCTATGTATGAACGGATGAAACTAAAACGTTTGAAGTGAAGGCAACTAGAGGCTTAAGCTTTACTAGGATGAACAGTTTTTGTTTTCTTAGATTGCTTAACTGGTCGATCTTTGCAGGTTAAACGAGAGTGAGCGGCTGTTCAAGGAGCTGCAGTCGTCTCACAACTTGCTCACAAAACAGATCGATGCTCTGAGGAAGAACCACGAGGCGCTGCAACAGAAGCACGAGAAGTAATGCACACGCACACACTTATCTTCCATCGTGCTTTTTTAATGCCTGAATCTTTGGACCCTTGATTTATCAGTGAGGTTCAAATGTTGAGGAAGAAACAACCTCTCTCGTTTGTGTCCTCAGGATTGCGTCAGAGTTGGAGGAGCGAGAAGAGGAGATCAGATCCCTCAATTCAGATCTGAAGCAGAGGAACAGTGACATCACAGGTTTGACTTTCAGCACTTTTAAAACCAGCATGTTTATAAAGGCTGCAACTAATGACTATGTTCTTTATTTGCTTCAATTAAGTCATTGTTAGTTTCCAATGAGTGTAGCTCTCTTTCTCAGGTTATTTCAACTTATATATAATTTAGTTCACCACAGAATTTACCTGAATTAAAAGTTATTTGAATAATGAGGATCCTAGCAGTTATAGATGTGACCAAAACTTTGATTTTATTTCGTTACGATAAAGTCTTGGTATTTTTCTCTGGAAAAGAACGATAGAATATTTGGAAAGAGATCCTTGTCCAAGCAGGAATGTCAGTTCCAAGTATTTAACACTGCTTACATTAATTCTGTGCCCTGTTTCTGTCAGGTTTGCGTGGTGAACTGCGCTCCAAGGAGGAGAAGCTGAAGGCAAAGGATCAGGAGAGGAGAGACCTGGAGGAGACGGTGGATGTTTTGAGGAAAGAACTTAACAAGACAGAGCAGGCCAGGAAGGACGCCAGCATCAAGGTAACAAAGAGAACTGTGCTTTTTCAACGGGGAGAAACACTGGAGACCACATACCCACAAATCCTTGCATTTAGAGCTTTAATTATTTTCTTATAGTTGGACGTGAGATCAATTCACTTCTTTTGGAAAAAAAAAACACAACAAAATCAACATGGCTATCGGTTAAAAAGTAACAGTTTAAACATTGCTGTGAAATCTTTTCAGGAAGGGAAAACAATGAAAAAAGTTAAATTACAGACAGAACTTAAAATAAAAAAAGACAGCGCTTGTTTTGGTTTGTTTTATTAAAGTATTGTCTTTAGGAAATTAAGAAACCCAGATAAAGATAACCAATAATTACATTTCCTCTACCTTTTCAATCATTAGTGCTCAGAAATGAGGTTGGGAAAAAATATGAATATGGCAATCAATCATTGTCCTGACTCAAGAGAAACAATTATCGAATGGCAAATTTGGTGGCAAATATCGATTTTTTGAATACAAAAAAAAAGGCCCAAAAACATTGGTTGTAGTTCAGATTCAAATCTATTTTGTCTTTGTCAGAAATTTGAACATTTTGATTTCTCTGTTTTCCAGGCATCATCTCTGGAACTGCAGAAGAGCCAACTGGAAACGAAGCTGAAGCAGAAGGAGGACGAGCTAAACAAACACTCTACCATGATCTCCATGATTCACAGTCTCAGCAGCGGCAAGTTGAAGAGCGACGTCAACCTGTCGCTCTGAAGAACACACACTTGTGCAGATGAGTGAAACAGGAATATCAGATTTTTTTTTAAACTGAAAGGATTATTACCTTTTTTAACTAAATGAACTTTTTACAGTAAATAAAACACAGACAGTGAAATGTACTAAACAAACTAGTATTTATAAGTGTTGAATCTTTGTTTGTCATGTATGTGTCTATATGAATATGTTTTTTGTTTGGTAAATAAATGATGGATCTGTATTCGTCTTGGTTTTATACATCCATACAAAAATGTGTGTCCTGGAAAGTGAGCGAGAGCTGATTCAGAAATATGTTAATAATAGTTACAGGTTACCTAGAAACAACAACTCTGAATGCTTTGAATGTGATCTACTTCAAAACCAGATCTACTGAAATCACATTTGTTGGGGAACAAAATAATGCAAACTCTGGACAGACGTGAAGTAAAACACTGTAAACACCAGGACTGCATCATATTTTGTGGTTTAATCTTTAACCTAATATGAACATTAGTAATAAAAAAATCATAGAAGTCTTAATGGCGAGAAATAAGACAAATGATTTAGTGTAACCAAGCAATGCTCCCTCACACAGCATGTGTACATTTTAAAGGAGCAATATGCATCATTTTACTGTTAGTGTTTTCACACATGCACGTTAACCTGAATTTTACTTCCAAGATGTCGGTGTAAGTGGGACAGAAAGCAGCAGTTGATATTCTTGAAATTCCCCACTGGGAGGTTTATATCACACGACCATGAATGATCATGCGATTGTTGTCCTGCTCTCTACTTTGTCACTTTGTTCTTCTCTGCTCTTTGGTTGATACTCTGAATATGTTCAATAACAGAAAGTATGTCATTGTTGCGTAGGACTATTGCTCTGGCTGCGGGTTTAGTTTATTACATGTCTTGCCTCCTTAGACCTGAATTCACGAATTATATCAAAATTTCTTATCAAACATTTTTTTCCGTTAAAGGACTAACTGATGTGAAGAAAATACTCAGGCCGATTAATTGGTTATCAAACACAGTAGATACACTAATTTGAGAGACTTAAGAGAGTTAAAAATAACTTCCTGTAAATCCAAAACACAATTTCAGGTCTTTGTTTTGATGTTACGTGACCCTCCTTCTCCTCTGTATCTGTTTCCCGTACAGAGGGCAGCTCAGAGTGGCAGCCGGCTGCTCTCTCTGTGTTTTCTATTTTTTGTCCTCTTTTTCTGCAGCTGCTGCCTGTCACTCTCTCTCTTAAGGCTTTGGCAGAAGGTCGGTGGGTAAAAGGACGTCACACTTCTCAGCAGCAGTCAGCCATGAAGCTTCAGCCTGCAGCTCTGGGCCCCTTGTTCCTGCTCGCTCTGCTCTCGTCTGGTGAGTCACTGCTGGGTTTTATAAAAGTTAACCCTCAGATTTCACTTGTGTTGCAAAGTTACTATAACTTGGTCCAAACTATTGAGTAATCACATGTAAGGTGACATGTTTTAAAACGCAGCTCTGTTATTTTAATGATCATAGTAATGAATACTACACTATATTCCATATTTTCAGCTTAAAGCTGCAACAAGCGGAAGAGAGAGAGCATGGCAGTTTATTCGTACAATTATGACGTTGTGCAAGAGTTTGTTTCAAATTTTCTTTCTAATATGACAAACATTAGTGTAAAAAATATATATTTATAAGGTGTTTTATTTTACAACGTATAATAGTCGGACAAGACCAGTAGTTTGATGTGAGCCTGTGATTTAAGAGCCTTTGACTGACTAAGTATTTTACAACTTTTCAACAACCAAACAATTATTTCTCAAAACAGCATCTGATGAATAAATCATAAAACAATAGGTTGTTAGCTGCAGTGCTGCATCAGTGTAATATTTCTCAAAATAAGATGAATAAACATGAAAGTCATAAGATTAAAGTGGATTTGCTGCAGCTTTAGCATCTCAGTGGCTGACCCTTACTGGGCTGTTTTCTTAAAGAAATGATTGATGTAATAAAACAAACCAATATGGCGGCGAGATAAACCAGAAGTATTTGGTTATTGACATGAGGAAAATGTCTGTACCTTTGTGAGTGGATGCCAGTTGGTGTCACAGCAGCAGTGGTAGTCCTCACAGCAGCTGTCATCATAACCTGAAACATGACCGGTATTCACACATTCACATACCATGTTTGTTTCCCTGTGTGTGTGTGTGTGTGTGTGTGTGTGTGTGTGTGTGTGTGTGTGTGTGTGTGTGTGTGTGTGTGTGTGTGTGTGTGTGTGTGTGTGTGTGTGTGTGTGTGTGTGTGTGTGTGTGTGTGTGTGTGTGTGTGTGTGTGTGTGTGTGTGTGTGTGTGTGTGTGTGTGTGTGTGTGTGTGTGTGTGTGTGTGTGTGTGTGTGTGTGTGTGTGTGTGTGTGTGTGTGTGTGTGTGTGTGATATTCTTTATTTACAGTTTATTTATATCACTTTGGTATCAACAAACATTTGATTTAGGCGTGAAAAGCTGGACACTTTTTCTCGTGTTTGGAACTTCTATAAATCTGTAAATGTTTTCTGCGGGTCTGTGAGGGTTTTTGTGGATTCATACTGATCCCCCCTGAAGGGACATGGACGGGAAACAGTAGGTTGATCAAGAACACATTTTTGGAGATCCAAAGGTTTTCATTCTAGTGAATTTCTAGTTTTAGTTACAGGCACCAAAAGGCTTCAGTATTGTTACAAGTATATTCGCAGGATTTACCTTCCTGGGCCAATTACTCGTCAGAGAAACAAAACTGACATATTTTTTTCAACCACAGTTAGGTAGACAGCAAGCTACAACCTGATTTTGATCAGTACAAGCCATCCTCCGAGCTGGCAGCTTACATTTGCCTGATCTTTGTACATGAGGCACAGATGCATGCGCTCTTTCATTGCAGATATTCCTCCCTGCTTGTGAATTAGAAATTGAAATTGAGTTCTCAGATCTTACAAAATATTTATGCATTTTTAAAGGACTCTCAGCATCTTGCAAAGGTTTCTCAGGATTTCTCCTACGTTTCTTGGGATCTAATAACATTTTATCAGAACTTGCATAGGTTTCTCAGAATCTTTACAAAAATTCTTGGTCTGGCAAAAGTTTCTTGCGACCCTGTAAACATTTCTTGGGCGAGTTCCTCAAGATCTCAAAAAGTGTTTCAGAATCTGGGGATCATGCAAAAGTTTCTGGAGATGTTTTTTCTTATAACACTGGTGTTTGGAAAATGTGTTTCTTGATTTAATTGAGAGCTTCTGAATGTTAACATGTTTTTGTGTGTTTCAGGGTGCTGGGGCAGAAACGAGGAGGAGCGTCTGATCAACCACCTGTTTAAAGAGAGAGGATACAACAAAGAGCTGCGTCCTGCCGAGAAGCAGCAGGACGCCGTTGATGTTTATCTCGCACTTACACTCTCTAACCTCATCTCTCTGGTACATAATAATGAATTCAAGCTAACAATATCTTTAAATGTATCTGTAAAACAATTCTATCAAATACAATACAGCCAATAAAAAAACAAGTCTGTTTCATAAATACTTGGAAGAGATCAATTCTAGAATCAGGAACAAGTTAATTCTTCTAACTTGCTTGTTTCTTAGAAAGAGGTTGACGAGACGCTGCTGACTAACGTATGGATCGATCATGTAAGTCAAGATTCTCTCCACTGATAGTTTCTTCCTGAATACTTGTTTTTTCACTAACTATAACTGTGTGTGGGGATAGACGTGGTACGACTACCGGCTGTCGTGGAATGTGTCAGAGTTTGATGGCATCGCGACGCTTCGTCTCCCGCCCAGCATGATGTGGCTGCCAGAGATCGTGCTGGAAAACAAGTGAGATTTAGTTTCCCTTTCATACATTAACATTTTAACGAGAGATGCACCGATACATCAGATGAGTGTCCTTATCGGCCGTTCCTCACTCTTTCAACAGATATCGCACCTATGGCCAAACAATTTGACGTTCTTCAAGCAAAAGTATTTTGTGTAAAAAAATCAAAAGAGCTGAATGATCGCCCCGTTTATACTTTATATTATTCATATTAAAATTTTGAATGAGCTTTTAAGTTTCCAAAAAAGGTTTTCTTGGGATGTGTTAGCACTGAAAATGTCATCTTACTTAGTTTGTGATTTAAAACAACCTAAAGAAGCTCTTGAAGCAGATAATTTTTTTTTAATGAAAGAAGGTGAAATTAGTGGGTATTTTGTAAATTTGTACAGTTGAATTTGTGAGCCCGGCTTACACTGTACGATAAAAAGTAGTGGTGAAATCAAACTGGTTATGCGCCGTTAATGATTCAGTCGTACAAACTACAGATTTATGTGCTCACACTGTGCAAACGGATTGACTCTTCAGAACAACTTAAAAAAAACATTGCCCAGATTGTTGCACTATGTCAATGTATTAGATTGGGCTTCTCCTGCAATATGATCACTGTAAATCTGACCTGCCTTTTCTCTCTCTGCCAGTAACGATGCCCAGTTTGAGGTAGCCTACTACAGTAACGTTCTGGTGTATCCTGACGGTCTCTGCTACTGGTTACCTCCCGCCATCTTCCGCTCTTCCTGCTCCATCAATGTCAACTACTTCCCCTTCGACTGGCAGAACTGCACACTCAAATTTGTGTAAGGCACTTCAACCATAACACATCCTGTGCTGTCCTGTGTGGCTTCACGTAAAGGCTCGAACATTTTAAGTTTACATGTTTTCTTTGTGCAAATGCAGTATGTCAAATAACAATCTGTTCTCGGTCAAAAAATGTAACTTGAACTAAATATCTACTTCATGCTGTCACGGAAGCCTATCAGTGCTCAGCTGAAATCTGCATCATGAGGTTATTTCGGCAAACCTCTGGTTCATACTGCTGAAGTGAGTCAGAGTGAAGCCTCTGTGTAACTTACTATTGACAGTTAAACTGAGAGATATCCTGGAGGGTTGGATTTTGCTTCACTTTGACCTGACTTTTGCATTTGGCCTCCATTCCACATGTTGCTTTGCAGCTCTCTGACCTACAATGCCAAAGAAATCAGGATGCTTCTGAAGGAGGAGCAGGGGGAAGATGAGAACACATTCACAGTGGAGTGGATCATCATTGACCCTGAGGGCTTTACCGGTAAGTGTTACTGTCTCATATGTACCTGCCAGTGGTCCAGCTTTATGCAAATAAGAATATCAGCTTGACCCACAAAGTATTTAATGTTAGTTAAAAAATGAATTACATGGAGATGGTATAAACCTGAGTCCACCAGCCTCAACGAATGGATGGAAATAGTAACAGGAATATATGAAATGAAAAAGATGGCTTTCTCTCTAGTGTCCACACGTAGGCGGGTATTTTTTTGAAAGCGACGTTTTCGTACTCACGCGAACTGCGTTTTAGGTCTCTGAAACGGCACATTTTGGAAAAGTCCCAGCAGGGTGAAGATTTTCAGAAACTCTGTTCAGGGTATTGATATGTCGACAAGGGGCTTGTAACGTCACAGGATTCTCCTCTGTGTGTAATGATTGTGCGATGCTGTCACTTTTGTTTACATGAGTTTAGTGGGATGGCAGACGTGTGCTAGTGCTGGTGTTAAAGTTGCTGACCTTTTACATGCTTACACATTCATACACATTTGCTATCCCACTATGTTGACGATCACAGACGCCTGAATGGACAACTGTGTAAATTAGGTTTTTATTCTCACTGTCCAGGTATACATAGACGTTTCATGAAAATTTGCCGAAAATGTCATGGGAATTTACCGGATAAAGTGGTGCATGAACCCTGTCATTTATCACTTTTCTAACCTCATTAAACTTTCCTTCTGTGTTCTTTAATATTCTGTTGATGTCAGAGAACGGCGAGTGGGAGATCATCCACCGTCCAGCCAAGAGAAACACCTACAAGCACATTCCCATGGAGAGCAACAAGCACCAGGACATCACCTTCTACCTGGTCATCAAACGCAAACCTCTCTTCTACATCGTCAACATCATCATCCCCTGTGTGCTCATTTCCTTCCTGGCCTCGCTCGTCTACTACCTCCCCGCTGACAGTCAGTGCACATAGTCCTCCGTCTTTATTATTTTAACTGCAGGGCACTTCAGTATGAGCTTTTAAAAATGAATTTCATGACTTAGACTCACACAGTTCTCACATTTAGGTTGCCCCTGGGAGTGTGTTGAATGAGATTCCTAAAAGGTTTCGTTTACAACCCCATTTCCTAAAAGTTGTAAAATGTCAAAAACAGAATATGATAATTTGAAAACTGTGAAACCCCGTACTCAATTGAAAAAAGAACAAAGACAACATATCAAAATATAAAAATGAGAAATGTCCTTTTAAATTTGATGCTCACAAACTCTGGAGAGTTTTTCTCAGGACGGACATTTCTGGATCTAGTTTATAAACGGTTTCCTTATTGCATGGCAGAGTTTCAGAACTATGTTCATAGGCAATAATTTGACAGTGTTTCTTAGCCTTGGATTGATGTCCACCATAAATCATGTCTGTTTTTGATGCAGGGCCAACACATATTGGTTTTTGTCCTTTTCCCCTACATACAGAGATTTCTTAAGATTCTCTGAATTTTCTGTTCAGAACAATGCAATCCTCGAGTTCTTTGCAATTTTATGTCAAAAACATTATTAACAAAGTGTTGCACTATTTGCCAGATTCAGTCTCTCTGGGATACTCTTTTCATACCCAATCATGTTACTAACCTGTTGCCACTTTAACTGTGAGATATTCAATCTGGAGTTTTTCATGCATTGTGAAACTTTTCCCGTCTTTCGTTCGCACAGTCCCAACTTTTTTTAAAACTGTGTCGGAATCATTAAAATTGGGTATGTTATTTTCCAAAAACAATGCCATTTCTCTGTTTCAACATTCAACATGTTTTAGTGCTATTTGTGTCCCATAACTCAATCAGTTGTGGGATTGAATGTTTTGCAAATCACCACTTTCTGTTTTTATTGACATTTTACAAATTGTTGACATTAAGGAAATGGGGTTGTAGATTTTCAAAAATGAAAACAACAATAACAATTTAAGTACCAACTGAAAAAAGACTCAGAAACACCTCCACAAGATCAACCTCAGTGTCACATGTTGTGTGTGTGTGTGTCCTCAGGTGGCGAGAAGATGACTCTGTCCATCTCGGTGCTGCTGGCTCAGTCTGTCTTCCTGCTGCTGATCTCTCAAAGGCTGCCGGAGACTTCCATGTCTGTTCCCCTGATTGTCAAGTACGTTACACATGTACACACTCGTAAAATGTTGTTGTGGGGGATTTAGGGGGGTGACATTTTTACTCTGGTTATTGAAAAAGTTACTTATCATCAAAAAAAGAAATACACATTTAAGCATCAAATAAAAAACAAGTGAACAATAAATGTGTCCTCCACAAAGTAAAAAGCTCTCTCAAATTTTTAAACAGAATTTATTAAAAATGCGTGTGTTTGTCTGTATCTGTGTGTGTTTGTGTGTTTGCCCGGCTCTGTGTGTGTACATGGGTGTGTGTACGTGTGTGTGTGTCTGTGTGTGTCTTAGATACTTGATGTTCATCATGGTGTTGGTGACAGTGGTGGTGTTGAACTGTGTGGTCGTCCTTAACCTGCACTTCAGGACACCAAGCACTCATGTCATGTCTGAGTGGACCAAACAGGTAACAAACAAACACACATTCATAATAACACACAATAAACACAACTGGACACACACACAGATACTCATGCAAACACAGTCCGCTCATTTCAAACCAAACTTGGGAAACAATCATGACTTCAGACATGCAGACATTATTTCTTCTGTCTGTCCAGTTCTTCCTCGAACGACTGCCCCGCATCCTGCGTATGTCCCGCCCCACTGAGGCGGAGCCATACTGGGATTCAGCGTTGCCACGGCGATCCAGCTCAGTGGGTTACATCGCCTCTGCGGAGGAGTATTACAGCGTCAAGTCCCGCAGCGATCTGATGTTTGAGAGACAGTCGGTGAGACACGGACTGATGACTCGAACCACACACGCATCAAGTACGTCAATTAACAATGAATCAACCGTGTTCAAAGTGGTGATAACTTTATGAACTTCTGAATGCTGACAAGAGTGCAGGAGAATATTACAACTGTTTAAAACTAGCTTTTCTGTCATTAAATAACCTAAATTCTTGTTTTTTCAATGCTTATGTTTTCTTTATTGTTGATGTTTGTTTTCATCATTGAGACTATTTTCCTCAATGAATTAACTATCCAACTACATTGTATTGATGTGTAATCTATGCACAAGAAGCTGTCTGAGCTTTCAACTCATTCAGTCCGTACTTTGTAAATAATCTTGTCCCGCTTGCTACTACATGCAAGTGAGCTCATTTTGTCATTGCCTCAAGACAGAGACTATCAAAGATTCATTAGTGAATTCCTGCTCTGTGTCCTGTGTGTTTTTGTGTAGTTGTGAAGCCACAGGATGATGGAGGCGTGACAGATCAGCTGTATGGAGAGATCAAGCCGGCTGTAGATGGAGCAAACTACATCATCAAACACATGCGCAATAAGAACGACTACAACGAGGTGAGAGGGAGGGAAAGACAGGATGATGACCCATAGAGAGGAGTAGATTAGAATAGAGTTACTGTTATCCATCTGAAAGGAAAAATGCTGTTTGTAACGCTAGCTGACAAAGTAATTGCAAGCTCGCCAATTTGTGCCTTTTATATGGAACTCTGTTTCAGACCGCTTCTTACCGGTGCTTTTGTTGGTAGGTTACAAGATTTAACCTCCACTTCCTTCTGTAATGACTGTTTTAGTTTTATCTGCTAGATATGTGCTTTTATTGAAGATAACATGAAAACAATGTAAAGGAATCGAGTCCTGGCAGTACAATAAATTGTATCTTCGAATAGACGAGTCAGATTAGTTCCTCCTCCACAATTGCTGTTGACAAAGCTGATATCCTGTCCCTTTCTTATTTTGACTGGTCAGTGAGGGAGTAGTGACATTTATGATGCTGTTTTCAACTGAGAGCAATGTGGTTCAAAACCAACCTCGACCCACATCAGTCGCCTGCTGTCCTCGCTCTGATGTTGGAATTTGTTGCTGTTGCACACTGTTGGCACCAGGGGGAGCTAAAGGAAAGGCACTCAGGAGAACCAATAAATTACCAACCACATTCCTTTGATTTTCAGTCAAAACTTTACAAAGAGAAAGTCCACAGGCTGTTAGAGGAGACAGCAACGACAGAAAGACAAGGCCTCAGTTTTTATGAAACAACACAATATGCTGTGTTTACGCAGCAGGGAGTCCAAGTGAGCAGGTGTCCACATAATATTGATAATGAATATAAATCAAATATAGAAATTGAGTTTTTTGTCTTTGCAGGAGAAAGATAACTGGAGTGGTATTGCTCGTACTGTGGACCGTCTCTGTTTATTCCTGGTTACCCCGGTGATGACCATTGGTACCATCATCATCTTCCTCATGGGCATCTGCAACCACCCTCCACACCTGCCCTTCAAAGGAGACCCACACAACTACAGAGAGGAGAACCCACGCCTGCTGTAACACACACACACACACACACATCACAAAGCTATGTGTTAATATCAGTGTTTGAATCCACAGCTTTATTTCTTCTTAGTTGTTTTCGTTTGTCCCAGGGCTGTGCATTTTTTCTAACTTAAATTTGAAGTGAAAAACTAAATCAGTATATTGTTTCCATGATTTTATTCATGTAGATTGAATAAAAATAAAAACACAGCAGACATCTTGATTTTATTTTCATATCTATTGTCTGGTTTTGGTTGTTGGAATATGGATATCAATTTAATGACATAAAGACACAACAAACTAATAAAAACCCTGTTGGTTGTTGGGATTTGCATTTAGCACCAATGGTATGATCTTAATCATAACATTCAAGCAGAACAAGAGAAAAAAAATCCAAATTAATTTATGCAGTAAAAATAATACAGAAACAAACACACAGCATCGTCAACTTTAAGTTACAAAAAAACAAAACCATTCATAAATAAGACAAAAGTAGTCGTTCGAGCACCTCAGAATTTGTTCTGAAGTTGCAGCAGGTGTTACAGATTAATTATGGCTTATTTTTGATGAATGCAGTGAACAAACCTGGCAGCCTGCTTATCGGAACATTTAACTTCCGTTACTTTAGCCAACATTAAATCTTTTTTTCTTCTTAACTGTTGTGAAATTCTCTGAAATGAATGCTGATGCTTCTGTAAAGCCCACAAAAAGATTTGTAAAAATATTTTGAATGCCTGACACTGCTGCCTCGAGTAGGTGTCATACGATGAACATGAGCTTTAACGTTTATCCAGATGCAAATTGACAAATTTGTGATTGAAATGTGGTATTGAAATGTGGATATTCATTTTCTTATACACAGTTTAAAAAAACCTCTGCACACCTGAATGTGTAACAGGTGTGTTGAAAAAGATAAATCTTACAGAAAATGAGAAAAGCTCCCACACTATCTCTCTCTCTCTATCTCTATCTATATATCTATCTATATATATATATATATATATATATATATATATATATATACACACGTACAGTATATATTTATACATATTTACCACCAAAGAGACTGCCTCAATTTAGAATCACCCAATCAGTGAACCATCTAATCTAGCTAATCTACTGTCAAGTACATTGTTTTTCTTTAATCTATGGCCCGATGTCCATCTAGAATTTAAATCCTGATGGTTTTTCAGTAGATTATCAACCAAGAAGCAATTAATTCATCATGGTTTGTATGCTTGCCTGTTTTAAAAAAAAAACAAAGCTGTATTAAATGTCACAAAGTTTTAGCTTTCCATCCTGAGCGTCAGAAGAAAACAGTGAATTACAAACTCTACAACAGATTAATGTGCGTTCAAATACATGCATTCCCTCTGCAATCTCTCACAGAGATGCATACTCTGTGTGTGTGTGTGTGTGCGTGTGTGTGTGAGGTCAGACAACAATTCAACAATTGGTTCTCCAAACTCCAACACAAGTAAAAGTTGTTTTTTCAGAGTGCTCCAGCGTTAAAAATAAGTGCATCAAGTATTATTTCATCCTTTAATCCCATGTGGAGATGTTCATCTTCATTTGTATGAGCCGTAGTTTAATTCCCTCTCCATTTCTACATTCATTTCTCTATGGACTATTTGTCGACACTCATTTAATACATTCTTCATGAAGAACTGTACAGAGTGACCGATGTCTTCATATGCACAGATCAATAGGAATCGTTTTTATCCAGCATTCCCTCACTGGTCTGCAAACATTACAAAACTTAGGGCTCAAACAAAACATAACCAAAATGTCATGTTTTTGTCTTGAGAATTTATCATCAGAATGCAGATTCAAATAGGGAGGAGGGAAATGCCAGGCAGCAAGTTGGTAGAGTGTGTGGCTCATGTATTGATGCTGTGCCTTCACCACAGTAGGCTTTGGTTTGGGTCCAGCTCTTGGCCTTTCAGTGCACGTCATCAACACTCTAACTTCTATAATTCCTGTCACTTTATGTCCGTCTCCTTTCAGTTGTTGTCCTGTCGATTTTCCATTCTTAGCCTAAAAAAAGAAGAGGAAGGATTCATTAATCCCATTAGATCGGAACAAAAACATATACAAAGCATTAAAATTATACAAAACTTGCATCACAAATCCTCACCAATAGATGAATTCATGCCCTGAACTTAGTGCTTAATATCATAATAATAGACTAGATGTGACAAATGTAACTCAATGAAAACTGTATTCTGCTTTGACGTATCAGTCAAGTACAGTGCTATATAATTAAGAACAGGTAATACAGGGATGTCTATGGCCTAGCGGTTATGTTGTGCCCTATAGTCCTCCAAGCGGGTGGTCTGGGTCTGACCTGTGACTCCTTAACTGCATGTTATTACCAACTCTCTCTCTCTCCCCCTAATTTCCTATCCTATCCACTGTCCTGTCAAATAAAGGCAGAAACGCCCAAAAGTAAATCTTAAATAGAAAGAAGAAAAGGAACGTGTCCAGTAATATAACAATACATACATAACCGTCCTGTATCCTTGTCCGTTTCTGAAGAAAAACCATAATAGGAAGATGATTGCTGCCAAAAACAAACAGGCTCCAATCACTGAACCTGCAATTGCCGCAATATTAACAGAGGTGTCTGAAACAGAAAAAGAGTCATGCAATCAAACTTTATTTAGATGTAACTATCAAGAGTGTGATTACAACTAGAATACCTCTGAAGGATTTTTATGGGTTCTGAAATGCTGCACATTTCTGTAAAACATCTAACACTACATGAGAGGAGCCAGTGTAGTGGTCTGAGTGTCCTGATGCCAGGTTAGTTCCCAATGTTCAGCAAAATCTTTCAAAGCCCTTAGAGTTGAAATAATTAGCGGTGCTTGTCTCTTGTTAAGTTATACCTAACAATGCAGAAAAAGGACGGACTATTCCCCACAAACCTCTCTGACTTTGTTTTGTCTTACCTTTTAAAACCTTAAGAAAGGTGTTTGTTACAAAAGTCTCCTTAGCTGTGTTCACTTCACACGTGTATATCCCCTCCTGATCTGAAGTTAAGTCTTTCAAAATGAGGCTGCCTGACGTAGAAACACTCTTCAAGTACACCCTCCACTCCGCTGGGACTGTGTAGGAGTCCTTGGCCGTTGTTCGGTTCAGGATGACCTCACTGTGGTTGAATCTCCAGGTAAAGTCTGTTGGGGAGGTGTTTGTGATGTTCTGATTGCAGGAAATCGTGGTTTCAGTGTTGAAAATGTTGATAAAAGCTGAACAGACAAGAAAAATACGAAATAAATTTAAAAAATGTTTTAGCCCCCTGTAGTTACAGATTTAAAACATTCTGAATTATAATGAGTCAGTCTTTGAGGATCATGTTACTTTGTTATAAGCAACATTTAAGCCAGCCTGAGGCATGCAGTTCCACACTGACTGCAGGTTGGTTTAAAGTTACCTGGTTTAGACAAAGTTGCTCTCCTCTTGTTTCTGCCAGTGCTGATGGTGCAGCTGTAGTCCAGATTGGAGACATTTAGAGCTGTCAGAGAGCTATTGATGCTGTAGAGCTTCTCTTTCTGATGGACAGTCGGTGTGTCTGCTACAGTCAGATTGGTTGGAGGACTGGAGGACCAGGTGAGCTCAGGCTGAGGGTAGATCCCCTCTGAGCTGCAGGTGATCCTGTTTCCCACCTGCTGAATATTGACTTTACGTGGCGGAGCTGCAAAAGACAGGTTATTGAAGTGGGAGACCAGGGCCCAGATGTTCAGAAGGTTTTTTACTATCCAGGATCAGGAAATTATGAGTTCCCTTTACATATTGAAATCTAGTAGATCAAAGGCTAATAATAATAAATGAATGTAAATAAATTAACATCAGGTAATCCAATCTTGGATTTTATTCAGATAAAATATCCATTTTGTGGTGTTCAAAGCTTTTGAGTTGGATTAGGATAACTTTGAGTGAAAAACTGGACGTTCAAAAAGTTTCATCCAGATAAAAATGATGATCCAATCCAGTTTTTCATCTACTTCATCCAGGTACAGACTTTCTGGATTACAGGAGTTTTAGGGGAGACTAAACACTACACACTATTTTTCTCATGTTGGATTAATGTTTCGTCTCTGTGAATAATAGGCGAAAACAGAGTCTATATTTGTTAAGTGTCCTGAAATAACTTTAGTTATAAAGAACAATTGATTCATTCATTCATCAACTTAGTTTTTGTGTTGTTGTGTGTTTCTCCTACCGTCCACTTTTAGGTCCATTGTTGACTGTTTTGCTGGGCTATCTGGTATGCTAACATAGCACTCATATCGGCCCTCGTCCTGAACTGTAACCCCTGTCAGACAGAGTGAGGCCTCTTTTTCAGAGCTCAACGACGTCCTGCCACTGAAGCGTTGGGCTTTATTCTTGGGATGGTCTTGGTTATTGTAGTAGTGGAGGAGAATTTCTTTTGTTGTTGTCTCTTTCCAGGAGATGACTACATCTTCTCCAGTTGGGAATGTGCACGGTAAGGTGCAGTTCTCTTCAATACCACAAAACACTGTTTTTACATCTGCAGCACCTGAAGAAGAAACATGAGACATAAGTCTGAGAAAATAACGGCGACTACATTCAAGTGACAAACAGAAAACTTCAAGACAACAGCATATATAAAAACAGTCGCACAAAAAAAAAGTCAATAACGTCTGTAAAAGGGTGTATATACTGTAGTATTGTAAGAGCACTTCCTTTCGAACCATTCTTCATCCTTTATGGCAAATGTAGTTCCTGATTATGTTTAATTTCACCTTTTATTTTGTGGGTAACAAGGACAATCATTTCAAAAATCCATTTCGCCAAATTTACAAATGTATGAATCAACTTTCAGCCTGTCAGATTGATCTCTTAAACCCCTTTAGGAGGTATTTTTTTCAAGGTTAGAAGATGTGGTTTTCCTTATATGAACAGTTTTAATAACCTGAATCGTGGCTCTTCCAGGTGTGCAGAATATAGACTCAGAAAAATCAGGATTGCATGTAGTGACGTGTTTAAAATGGGTTAAAAAAATCATTGAAGAAACTTAAAAGTCAGTCTGAGAAGTGACCTTGTAGTTCAAATTTACAGTTTTGTTTTTGTTAACTTCAGTGCAAGGAATATATAAGGAATTTAAGGAATTTAAAACATGAAACATTTGCCAGCTGTGGCTTGTAAAGCAGGCTCGGCCAGAAGTGTTTTTCTCTGGTTACACCCTGTTTCATTGACTCACACCAATCTGACAAGATGGCATGCATTTTTCTCTAAACGTAACAAAGTAATTGTAAACTTTGGATTGATGTCATCTTTGTGTGTGGTACTGTGGGTGCATTTGTGTGTGTGAGTGAGTGCTAGAATGTCACCAGATGTGTTTTGTATGGTTTCAGGCCACTTATGACACACTTTTCTTCCTTTGTATCTGAGTCCTAATAACAACGTTTTTGGAATCCAGGATTTGTTCTGCTGTCATACACTTTCTTCTCCATAATGTGTTGAATCACCGCACAGAACAAACAACCTTATGTTAGCAGCTCCAGATTTTTAATAAAGGTGGCAGTCACTTGACATTTCCCCCCAGAAGAAGACAGCTTTGTTGCTCATATTAGTTCAAATATATCACAGATGTGTGTTAAACTTGAACTTCACAGAAAAGATTAGAGTCCATCTTGTTTTAACAAATGTTTCATACTCTTGCTTAAAACTGCTAGGAATGAATTAGGCCAGTCTTCATAAACTTTGGCATAGCTCTGTTCAGCCAAACGTTGCATGAAAACCAACAGAGCTTAATTCAAACGTTCCTGTATACAAAGTTCAATCTCTGGTTTATGTTTACACTGAAATAACAAAGCCTCACTCACCTCCTTTTGCAAATCCTTTTAGATAAAAAAGAACATTAAAAAACATGACACGTTTTATCCCACTCATCTTCTTTGATATGTCGTACTCTTCTTTCCGCACCGCTAATATTTACAGTCTATGTGTAGCCTACGGGAGAGAGGTCATTGCATCAGAAAGAGAGACTCCCACATGAGGCGGCTGACTTCCCTTAGATTTGTAAATTAGCCTACTCTCAGGGAGGAAAGGATCACACAATGCCTGGAAACAGGAAATGTTTGGACTACTTGGTGTGACTTTGGGTGGTATCAAGCAGATATTCTCATGACCTGGCTGTTCACTTGCTCCTCCCAGTGGGAGAATATCCATGCATTCTGAGTCTGTGTTAAAAGCTACTTTAAACCTCACAGGTGATGATTCCGGTGAAGAACACAGTAGCTTTTAGATAAATCTGGTGCGCCCATCTCTTTGTTTATTGCAAACATTTAATGTAAGTGCACATTGTCCTTTTAAATAAACAAACTGAACTAAGTAGCACAGAGGCCTCGCATTGACAGCTTCCGCTCAGATCAGTCGAATGAAGCGCAAACCATAGTTTGCAGTGCATCAATACCTCTGGAAAGTCGGATTGGCATAGAGAGGGGGTGCTCCTGGGATGCTTGGAGTCACTTACCAGCCCTCTGGAGGCGTCATAGGCTCATGGAGGAAACGTTAAGGAAGGAGGATGCCTCTTTGAAAACTCCTCTGTGTCAACCTGTCAGTGTCATCAAGTCTACTGCGCTGGCTTAAATTGAAGGGAAATGTAGGAACACAAGACCTAATTTTGAAAATGTCCTAGAAATGTGGGAACATAGGGCTGTGGGAACATAGGGCCTAATTTTGAGAAAAAATGTAGAAATGTGGGAACATAGGGCCTGATTTTCAGTGAAAAACAAATTCTTAGAAATGTAGGAACATTGGGCTGTGGGACCATAGGGGCTGACCCCATTAATAGTGATTTGAAGTCAATTGGAGCCTGGTGAAAGTAGTAAGTATGTTATTATGCCTACCAAGTTTGTGGTTAGGTTTCAATGTTTCACCCTAAATTATGAAGAGTTTTCTTGTGCTGAACCTGTTCAAAGGTTAAGGCTATTGCTAGCACACAGGAATTCAGCTCAACCATTGATGTTGGTCAAACTTGGCCTAAAGTCGTCTGAAGAGGTACGCAAGAAAGTGTTTTAAAATATCAATGAGTCACTTAACTTAAAGCTTAGATAGGAGCTTTTGGAATGGAAAAACAATGGTGTGATTATAATTAAAGGAAGCAGACCGTGATGAACAAAGAAAATGTTATTTTTAATGTATATGCTGGTCTGGGATGTGTTTATCTGCTGGGAGCAAACCAGTTGGACCAGGTGTAGGTTAACTTTGGCGAGTAACATTAGAAATGTAGGTAAATCTGATGTGATAAAACTGTCAGCACAATTTATTAGTGTTGTCTTGAGTAATTATTTTGACAGATTCCAATTTCAGACTTTGAGATCATACCGTTCACTTTGAACATTAACATCGTCACTGCTTTACAGGAGGTAAAATATATATTTTTTAAAAAGCAAAAAACCTGGAGTTCTTTTAACAAAAAAAAAAAACACTGCCTCAAAAATAGAACATGAAAATAAATATTTAAATGTTGTGTTATTACCAATATTTACAGTCTATGGTTATTACCAAAGGGTTAGTACTGCATAGCTGTATTTATTTACTGTCGGACAGGATTAATCCAGCATTTACAAACAAAGCACCTACTGTTGACAGGAACCAATAGGAAGTAGTAGACTTCTTTAATTAAGCTGAAAATGGGCGGCTCTGGTTTTCAGTAATTCTGTCTTGGTGATGTTCTCCAAGTAGTAGGCCTATAGCTCCTCAGCCAATCCTGTGCCAATGGAGTGACCTCACTGTGAATACATGCCGCTGACGTGTGACTGACTACAAACAGTTTCGACAAACACAGAGTGATCTTTTTACAGTCAACCAAAGCTAAAGTAAAAATAAAAAAACATTAATGAAATACGGAAAACCTGATTCCTGGCCAGATATGAATGTCCATTATCCCTCTGTCTTATATAGACTACAGAGCCATGTTTAGGAGTTGTTAAGTGTAAGACACAAATTTCTCCAGCAGGTGTCACCTTTGGGTTCAGTTCATGACTATCCAACAGGTGTTTTGATAATCCCGTCCAAAGACTGACAGAAAGGCATTTCTGTTTATAGACCAGTCCCTTGTGCTAAAAATACCTTTCCCGTAAATCCAAGTAGGAATTTCAAGTTCAGGACTCAGGAGGCAGCTCCACCTTAAGGATATGTATATGAAAGTGAAACAGGTGGATATATTAGAAACAACCATGTCTTTACTGAAAAGGGTTGATACCAGGTTATGGAAAGAACAAATATGAGCTTAATTCTATAGTTTTAAACATTTTATTTTATCAAATAAATATATGTAGAAGGAGTAGATTTGAACCTTCCTGCACAGGTTAAGGTGCACTTCTACTTTATTTATTTTTACGCTGGCTCTGCACGTTTCACAAATACACAATGTTTTCAAACCCCTTGTTAAAAAAAATCACTTCATCATCTTTATCAAACATAAAAAAATGACTACCAACACAGATTTAAATAAATATGCTTTCATAAAATAAAACTCATGAACACAGTTTTTCATAAAAACATTTGTCTCTTTGTCATCCCTTCAAGTAATTGCATGAAAACTATTCTCCATCATCAAACATATCTTCCTGCTCACTTTCATGCAACAATTCAAACCAGATTTAGCTTTCACGTTGTTGTTTAATCAGTATTGTGCACTGAGTGAGACTGAAAAGCTCTAGCAATGCTATTTTCACAAAAGAGTTTATGAGATAAGATGCAGGAAGGATTTCTTCTTTGTATTCCTCACGTTCCTGTTGTCCACACTTCCTTGCTGCTGAGGTGGAGGTCGGAGCAGGCCGTGCATGAATGAGGACGGCGGTGGTTGAGGGACAACACAGTCCGATGGTGGTGGCTGGGCATCAGGGAAATGTAGAAATGAAACCAAGAAACCAGTTGCATCTTGCAACCAACTTTAATCCAGCAGAGATCTTTAAGACCAAGTGTCTGTCCCCAGACCAACAGCAACACTTGACATATTTGCTGTTAGACATGTACCTACTCATGTGGGAACTTTTTGTTCATCTAATCCCAGCACATTCATACATCCCGATGTTAAATCCTTCGTTTGGGATCCTTTTAGCAACTGTTCATTTGATACCACTTACTCTAATAAATATTTGCGTACATTCATCAACTGTGGTCTTGTTCTTCATCATGGCTGACTGTTGTTGTTCCACGGTCTAGAAATGTATTAGTTTTTCGTTCACCATTTTCCCTGCAAACAAAATTGAACAGAATCAAGTTCTGAAGAACATCGAGCTCAAACAACCAGCATGTATTCTTTTTCATCATAAATGACTTCTGTAGAAAACATTAACTATCAAAGAAAGCATGACAACATTTATTTTCAGGGATTTGTTCTTGCTTATATCCTCACTTCACTGACTTATCTTGTTTTTTAAGCCATAAAGTTAACTTACTTTAATGGGATTTCAGCTTCTGGTTCTCTGTTGTTTTCACCACCTTCACTTTTCTGAGTTCACAAGACATCAGCATTAGTACAAACAACAGGTACTTAATTTTTAGTAGAAGAGGTAGTTGTAGTAGTGTTATTTACCTTTTTAAACCACTTATATATGACGAAGATGCAAATGGCTAATACAACCAAAAGGAATATAACCCCAACTGTAATTCCTGCAACAGTAGGAGTGCCTGAAAAAGAAAAGAGATTCAGTTCATTCATCTTTCTCTCGCTCAAAGCTATGCCATCAGGGGCATTTTGAGATTCAGTGTCTTCTTTAAGGACACTTGAATGTGTGGACTGCAGGAGCTGTAATATAACCAAGTAACCAGATATTCAGATGAACTGTTCTTTTGTAGAGGTGCTACTTACTTTGACTTTCTTCTATCCTCAACGCTGTGCTCCTTTCATGAGTCTCTTCAGCAGTACTAAGTTCACATGTGTATATTCCCTCCTGAAGTGATGTTAAGTCTTGTAACACGAGGCTTCCTGACTCAGACACATCCTTCACGTGCTTCCTCCACTCCTCTGAAACTTTAAAGGGGACTTCGGCGGAGGTCTGGATCAGGATGTTTTGACTGTGGTTGAATGTCCAAATGAGGCTTTTAAAGTGAGTGTTTGAAGAAGTGCAGGGGATTGTGCTTTTAGTGTCTGAAATATTGATGGAAGCTGAAAGACAAAACACAAGAATTACACACAATGACAAAGTTTATTTGTAAGGATTTTGTTGATGTCAATGTGAACTTTCATATCAGCTGTTTAAGGCAGCCTGAAGGACCCCATGCAGTGACCAGAAGTTTTCTTTGAAACACGTACCTGGTTTAAACAAAGTTGCTCTCCTCTTGTTTCTGCCAGCGCTGATGGTGCAGCTGTAGTCCAGATCAATCACACCGACTTGAACTATCAGAGAGCTATTGATGCTGTAGAGCTTCTCTTTCTGATGGACAGTTGGTGTGTCTGCTACAGTCAGATTGGTTGGAGGACTGGAGGACCAGGTGAGCTCAGGCTGAGGGTAGATCTCCTCTGAGCTGCAGGTGATTCTGTTTCCTACCTGCTGAATTCCAACTTTACTGGGTGGAGCTGTGAAAAAAGTAAACATTTTGGAACATGTATTTAAAATTGTGATGTGGGAGACCTGGTGATGACTCATTCAGGTCTCTTTGGGAGCTTTTTAGACTTACATTGAATTGATTAAGATTCTGTTCTTTTGCTACTCATTTTTCATTCCATTTTTGAAAACTATTGAAAGTTTGAATTTTTATGTCTTAGACAAAAGCAATCTGTCAATTTTCTTGTTCTGTCTTTACCAGAAAACTAAGTTAATATAAGTTAAGAGTTAATATAATGTCAAGGGAAAGAGAACATTCATTTATAACTGAATGAAAGTAGCAACATTTACAACAGGACTTTGTTCTCCCATCATGCCAAATAAAACAATCATGTGCTAATCATACTTTTTACTGCCTTCCATCCGGCAGTATTTCCATAATATTACATTCCATTACACAAATATAAATAACAAAAGATTTAAGCTTTGTTTGTGCAAATGCTTGTTCTTCCATGCACAGTCAATTTTGTCAATTCTTTTTTTTTAGTTTGAATTGTAGTTTTACAGTATTCAACAAGTGAGGAAACACAGATATTAAAAAAACTATTTCCTCACTGAAA